GGATGTTCACGTCTAGCCCTCAGGAGAGAGGTCTGAGCTGGAGATATAAACATATGAATCATCAGGATTCGGTTATGGGCCTGGACGACGGCAAGGAGAGCTTGTAAAAAGAACAAAGACAAGAAAGCCCAGGACCACTCTTGGAGGCACTCCAACAACATCCCAAGGAATGTTGGGTAAATTAGATAATCTTAGGATTATTTAGATAAATAATCATAGGATTATTTAGAAATGGGAAACATTATCATAAGGAAGGAGAAAAACTCTTTTTATATACCACATTGATCTGAAATGGAAAGCCTCCTTTAGCTGCTCCCACTTACATGGTAGAGTGAAGTAGGAGGCAGTAGATGCAGTAATAAAATCTGCCTGGCTCCACTATGCAGCTGTGTGATCTTGGGCAAGTTACCTAGCCTCTCTGTTCCTCACTTTCTCTACCTGTCAAATGGGGATGAGAGTAACAAGTCTGACCTCATAAGGTTGTTGTGAAGGCCTGCTGTGTAGTAAGTGCTATATGCATGAAGAATATTATTATTCCTTCTCTCAATTGCTACCTTATTCTAGAAGGGATTTGCAGCAACTTGCTTTTACTGGTTTTTACTTTAAACCCTGCACTTCTCTCTTAGTTCTTTGGCTCGCACTAAAATGAAACTCAGTTCTGCTTAACTGTTCCTTCTCTACTCAGAACATTGCCGCAGCTTCTGGCAATCATGCAGATCCTCTGTCCCCTTTAAGAACCTTTTAGCTCCTTCTGGCTCCATCGTTATAAGACTTCCTCACTCCCATCTCCACTCTGATTGGGAATTCCTGTGCCGCTTATCTTGTCTTGACTCCTCAGCTTGAATTATTCATGCCAAACCCAGCTCTCTTAAGCTCGCTAAGGGCCCCAGAGTCTTTATCTTTGATCTAATTTCCAGAAGTGGCTGATGCGGCCCACATGAAGGCCATTTCCCTAGGCGGGATCAGATGATATGTAATTACCCAAGAAATCAGTCAGTTCCACCTTCACCTTGCCTCTTAAGAAAATTCACTCTTTAATGACCAATTTTTCACGGAAAGGAGTTACTTTAATACCCTTATGGCTTCTTTGGATTCAAGTGAAGTTTACTTTTGTTCCTGTTTTGTTCTGTTTTTCATTTTATTGACTATCATTATGGACTCACTGAGTTTGATATATTTGGTACATTTCAGGCAATTGGCATTCCATGAAGCTTTGATGTTCACACTGTCCTTTTGATAAGTAGTAACCACTTTGAGCTGGCCACTTTATCCTCCGGGTATCCTCCCCCTCGTCTTTGATACAACTGAGGCAAGATGTCCTGGTTCATTGTGTCCGTTCCTGCCCCAGTCCTTGGATCCTCCAGGTCTCCAAGGATCCCTGGATACTTTCAGCAGGACGTCGGATTTACACGCCAAACTGCTTACTCTGAAAAACTGGTAATTAAAAGGAACAAAATGAAACATTTATCTTGATTTCCAGTACAAACTGTATTTGGGGGTAACCAAGTAGCCCCAGAAGATGAAGGGGTGTTCTTGTTTCCTGGAGAAGCCGGCTGCGATTTGTTGACAGGAAGGAATGCTATAACTAGAAAATGAGCATTTGCAAGGGTAGAAAACAGTCTTGTAATGGAGGAATCAGACCATCACCACCTTAAACCAGGGATTGATCTCAATATCACTAATAGCAGGAGACCCCGACACGTTAATATCTCAGATGTGATCAAGTATTGAAGTCATAAAGAAAATGTCCTTATCTTTTTTAAAAATAGCTCCCATTGAGATATAATTCTCATACCATTCAATTCACCCACTTAAAGTATAAAATCCAATGGCTTTTAGTATATTCACAGAGCTGTGCTTCCGTCTCCATGATCGATTTTAGAATATTTTCATTACTCCCCAAAGAAACATCATACCCCCTTTAGCCGTCACCCCCTAGTCCCTCCACCCTCCCGACCCCCAGCCCTAGAAAACCCCTAACTTACTTTCTATCCATAGATTTGCATATTCTGAACATGGAATCATGCAACATGTAGTCCTTTGTGACTGGCTTCTTTCACTTAGCATATTGTTTTCAAGTTCATCCATGTTGTAGCACATATCAGAACTTCATTTTTTTTTTAAGAAAAGAATGCCCATTGTATGGGCAGACCACATTTTGTTTATCCACTCCTCAGTTGATGGACAACTGGTTGTTTTCATTTTTTGGCTAGTGTGAATAGTAATGCTAAGGACATTCATGTAAACTATTTGAGTACCTATTTTCAGTTCTTTTGGCTATACACCTAGAAGTGGACTGGCTGGGTCATAGGCTGATTCTGTGTCTATCTGTTTGAGGAACTGCCAGACTGTTTTCCAAGAGGGCTGCATCACTTTATATTCCCACCAGAAACGTATGACGGTTCCAATTTCTCTGCATTCTTACCGGCACTTGTTATTGTCCATTTTCTAATTGCAGCCATCCTAGTGGGTGTGAGGTGGTATCTCATTATGGTTTTCATTTGCTTTTCCCTGATGGCTAATATTGCTGAGCATCTTCATATGTTTATGAGCCATTTGTGTATCTTCTTTGGAAAGAGATCTATTCAGTTCCTTTGCCTATAATTTTTTCATTTTTTTAATGGACTTAATTTTTTTTAGAGCAGTTTTGGGTTCTCAGCAAAATCGAGTGGAAAGCATGGAACGTTCTCACATAACCCCCTGCCTGCACGTGCGCGCGCGCACACACACACACACACACACATACACACACACACACACACACACACAAGGCCTTCTCTACTAACAATATCCTGTAGCAAAGGGAACATTTGTTACCATTGATGAACCTACATTTACACGTCATTATCCACCAAAGTCCATGGCTTACATTAGGGTTCACTCTTGGTATTGTACATCCTGTGGGTTTGGACAAATGTACAATGACATGTATCCACCTTTATAGTATCATACAGAATAAATTCACTGCCCTAAACATCCTCTGTGCTCTGCCTATTCATCGCTCCCTCCCCACAACCCCTGGCAACCATTCATCCTTTTACTGTCTCTGTAGTTTTGCCTTTTCCAGAATATCATATAGTTGAAATCATAAACTGCTTCTTTTACTTAGTCATATACATTTGAGGTTCCTGTGTGTCTTTTCATGGCGCCATAGCTCATTTCTCTTTAGCACTGAAAAATATTTGATTTTCTGGATGGACCACAGTTGTTTATGTTGTTGTTGTTTTTTCTGTTCATTCACCTACTGAGAGACATCTTGGTTGCTTCTAAGTTTTGGCAATTATGAATAAAGTTGCTATAAACATCCATGTGCAGCTTCCTTTGACCACTTTAAAATGAAGTTGTCTTTTTATTGTGGTGACTTTTATACAAGTCCCTCCCTCATCAGGTACATGAATTGCAAACATTTTTCCTCATGCTTTGTATTGTCTTTTCACTTTCTCGATGGTATCTTTCAAAGCACAAAAGTTTTTAATTTTGATGTCCAGTGTATTTTTGTTGCTGTTGCTTGTGCTTTTGGTGTCATAGTAAAGAAATCATTGTCTAATCCAAGGTCATGAAGATTTATACCTATGTTTTCTTCTGAGAGTTTTATAGTTTTAGCTCTTACATTCAGGTCTTTGATCCATTTTGAATTAATTTTTGTATATGGCGTGATATCCTTATATTTTTATAGATGCAGACTAAAGAATTTAGACATGGTTATATGATGACTGTAATTCAAAATACTTCAGAAAAAAATAAATGAAGCAAATATGGCAAAATTTTGACAGCTGTTAAGCCTAAAGTGATGGGTTTATCAGTGTTCGTTTTACTCTTCTATTTTTTTTAAATTTCTTTAAGTAATAGAAAATAAAAGGAAAGGATATAGAAATAAAAATCAGAAAAATAGTTGATTTATTAGTGAACATGTTAGTAATAGAGGAATAAATTTGCATTCATTTAAACTTATATTTAAGAAAAATTTTTATCAACTTCAGCATTTTATAATTAGTTGCAAATTATTTGTCACACTCCTGATAAAAAGACAATAGAATGGATGCATCAGGGTGTCTTGGCACAGCTCTTAGGAACCAGTGTTCTACAGCTTCTAGCTCTAATATGGCAACTACTAGCCATGTGTGGCTGTTGAGCGCTTGAAATATGGAGGGTCCCAATTGAGGTGTGCTGGAGGTGTAAGTATTCGCCACAAATTTTGACCCTGGACTGGATGATAAGTAATTAAGTCTTTGTGGCTCAAGAGGCAAAATGAAGAGCAAATTATGTAGGTATTTATATGACGAGAGAAAAAATTTTCACAATGTTTTTATTGACAAAAACCAAAGTATAATAATTGAGGTTTTTTAGTTTTTTGTTTGGTTTATTTTTTTGCAGCACACGCCTACTAATGAGAGGAAAGGACTTCTTTTTTGTGGCGGATATTTATCTTAATCGGAGTTCAAAGGGAGTGTAAATATTATCATGTAGATTGCAAATGCTCATGTGTGAAAACAGTGCTTAGCTCTCTGGTACACAGAGGCAGCGCTGTGGGTCTGGCCCTGGGCCAGTTTGCAGACCCCGGTCCTCTGCACTGGGTTTGGGGTATTCCGGGATGAAGGATCGCTCCGGGTTGCGAGGTACCTCCATCACCTCTTCCCGCACCCTCCCTCGGTGCCCGCTTAATCTGGTTCATTGGTTGTCACCCGCGAGGCAGGACAGAAAGGTCAAGATTGTGGCCTGGAGCTCTCCCACGGAGCGAGGGCACCTCAGTGCTTCAGGACTATCCAGGGCCTCCGTGCCTGCCGTCCTCGGTGTGCGGTCAGGCCCTGACTCCCAGTCCCTCCTGTTCTCCCGCCACTCCTGCTCCCCAACCCTCTCCAACTCCCCTTCCCACGCAGCTCCACCCCTTCGCACGCTGCTCCTCCCACCTCCCCCGCTCCAGCGGCCGGTCCTGCCGCTGCGTTTTCTCGCTCCTCCCTCAGCCCCGCCCCCTCCAGCTCCTCCTCCCGGAGCTCCGCCTCCCGCGGCTCTACTGGCTCCGCTCTTCCCTCCGCCCGGCAGCTGAGCTTTCCCGCCCCGGCTGCAACCTCCGGTGCCACCGCCACTCTGTCTTCGCTGTGCACCCCTCGGAGCCCCAAGATGCCCAACATCGTGCTCTTCAGCGGCAGCTCGCACCAGGACCTGTCCCAGCGCGTGGCCGACCGGCTGGGCCTGGAGCTGGGCAAGGTGATCACCAAGAAGTTCAGCAACCAGGAGACCAGGTGGGGGCCGCGCTGTGCGGGGGAGGGCGCGGGGCGCGCGGCTAGGCTGGGGCGGGCGCTCCCCCTTCCGGGGCGGGCCGGCCACGACGAGGCCTCCGCGCCACAGCCGCTGTGCCCCGGGAAGCCAAGGAGGGCCGCCCCAGCCCGGAAGGGCGACCTGGGGGCGGTCACAGCGCCTCGGGGCGCGGTGGGCGCAGCTGGCGGGAACCGCCTCGGTGCAGGGCACGCGGGGAGGGCCGCCCTGGTTGTGTCTGCCCCGGTTTCGCGTCCCTGAGGGGCTTATCCCAGACCCGGCGTGCTCTGGAAGGTTCCGCCCCCGGCGGGGGCTGCGCACTGGATTCACCTGGCTCCCTTTAAAACGCCTCTTCCCCGTCCTGCCCTGGAGGGTCTGAGCCCACGGGCTGGGTAGCAGCGTGGAAAAAGCTCCCAGGTGACTCTCCTGAGCAGCTGGGGTGCAAACTTCTGGGTTAACTAGAACGTGGCGGTTGTGCAAAGGGTTTAAAGAGCGTGGGAACTCCGAGGCGCACGTGCTGGGTTCTCCTGTGCTTCCTGTACTTTTTCTGCCTCAAACATGATTAGACTTTAGAAGCTCCTTCGTAATTCTGGGACTCGGCTGTGTCCAGCAGCCAGGCCACGGCTGGAATGGAAGTGCCACCCATGCCTCAGGCCCAGGAGACGTGGTCGCCGTTGCTCAGTGACGGCAGGCCAGAGGCAGAACCAGGGGCTCCTTTTTCGACCTGCCTTAGTCCTCAGAGTTCTTTGAATAATTTCAAGTTGGTCCCCCCTTCCCCCTCCCATCCTTAAATGTCTAGCACTGTACATGGTTACTGATCATTTTTATATCTTTGCCCAGGACCCACTTACACATTTTCAATAAGCGGGGCTGGAACAAGTGGTGCCAGTTGCATAAATAAATAATAAATAAAATAAAGGACCTTTATTCTTCCCACCGTTTCAAAAATTAACTTGATCATAGACCTACATAGGAAACCTAGAACTAAAATTTTCTAGATGAAAACGGGAGAAAATCTTGATGACCTTGAGTTAGGTGAAAATTTCTTAGATACTGAGGCGTTATTTTAATGCATATGGGGAAGATGATGTTTGCTGCTGTTAGCTTTTTGGAAGATGGGACTCCCTTCTTCTAGGTGGGAAATTACAATTACATGGCCCTGAATCCAGGGGTCGGCAAACTGCGGCTCGCGAGCCACACGCGGCTCTTTGGGTACGTTCCGTCTCAAAAGTCTGCCGACCCCTAGAAGAGCCAATCCTGTCCCTCACAACAATGTAAAAATTATTCGAGAGCCATACATATATTTTTACATAATCACCATTATGTGAATAATATCCTTTAAAAATTTTATAAATGAAACTATGATAGTTTTATTT